TTCTCAAACTACTGAAACAATCATCAGTTGTGGTGGTTTAGAGAGAACACGCCGTCCTGGTCGGACTGGGCGCGCCGCCGTTTGCCTGCACTGCAAAAACACAAAGTCTCAACTTCCACTTCTGTCTTAAAAACACTTGAAATAAGACAAACCTTACTGAAAAGGAACAAAGCTGACCTTAAGTCAATCATTTTTATCGATTTAAAAGTAGTAGAGTGTTTAACTGCCAGAGTTTCTAAATAAATTCAACATCTGTATCTCGTTTAAAGAAAACTTTAATTTTAGTGAGATTTATGTCTCATTAAAACCAAAACAGTTTATCTTTTAAATAAGAAAGGTTGAAATTTTAAATTTGTTAAATGTTGCCAAGCTCTGGCAACATTTTCCTTTGTTACAAGTGGAAAATCATCTGCCAGTGGAAATAGTACTTTTATTGACTTTAAACAAACTCCTTTATCTTGTTTAAAACTTTTAAGTTAGTTTATTTTATTTTAGGTTTACCGAGATATTTTCCCTAGAAACTAGACACAAATTCTCGGTAGGATTTTGTGTTTTTGCAGTGTTGACCGTGTTTATAACGAGCTGAGTGACGATGGTTCACTGGAAGAATCGAGGAAAATATATCTGAGTTTTCTCATGCGCCATCAGCATTTTAACCAAAAGCCATCAACAAATTCAGTAACATTTTCAATTCAAAAACCATTTTTACTGCTAAATTATTGAATAATTAGATAAATTAGCTCAACAACAAAGATATTTATAGTTTTTAATCTGTTCTTCAGCTGTCAGATTGGAGTAAATTCAGCTTTCTAGGAGCTTCTTTAGAAATCTGGACTGTGGACGCTAACATTAGCATTAGCTGCTACATGTTTAGCATTGAGATGCTATTTTTGGCTTGAATAGCTTTGCTGTGCTAACTCCTCTTAGCACAGGAATCGTATTTTCCAGCGTCCAATCTGATCAGTCAGAAGCAGAAATTAATCCCGGTGGGATCAGAGAAGCAGCTTCGTAGTTCATTGTCGTTGTTAGCGGATGTAGCTTTACAGGTGCTCCAGAAACGAGTGAATACAAAAGGTTTTTCAATTAATTAAAATCTAATTAATCTGCGACAGACTGGCGACCTGTCCAGGATGTACCCCGCCTCTCGCCCGGAACGTTAGCTGGAGATTGGCACCAGCACCCCTCCCGACCCCACTGAGGGACAAGGGTGTTCAGAAAATGGATGGATGGATGGATGGATGGATGGATGGATGGATGGATGGATGGATGGATGGATGGATAATTAATAAAAATTAATGACTTAAAGTCCCTGCACTAGTTATTGTGGTTTCTGAGAAGTGTTGAAAATTGACCTCAAACGTGATTCATAGAGATGACAAACATCTTAAAATAAAAGAAAGTCACCTCTGTGTGTAACATTAAATAATAATTACTGATTTAAATGGGAACATCTACATCTAAAAATCTCTTAGCCAAACTTTCATCTTTTTTCCTGAAAAACTTTCAATAAAAGTAAGTCCGCTTGTTCCTGGTGAGACGAATCAGGGCGGCCAAAGTAACCGGGAGGACGGGTGACAGATGACACCAGCTAATTGGAAAACTAATGAGGTCCAGAAGTCCAGGCTGGACTCTGCTGTCAAACAGACACAGAGAGAGTAATGAGGTCCAGAACGACGAGCGCAGAGTGAGGTCAGCCTTACAAAGAGCAGATGCTCAAAATGACAAACACAAAGAGCAGAGAAGTCAAAGAATCACTTCCACCGATTCTTCTTCGTCCTGCCGGACGTCAGCTGGGTGTTGGTGGGACAAATAGTCCAGCAGTTTTTTACACTATTATCTTAGTACACGTGAAATAACTAAACTAGCTTAAAATGAACTGTTACACAGTTAATTTAACAGTTAATTGAGTTATCCTGTTAGAAATTTTTTAAACTTTTAACAGGATATTTCTCCTGTTTTGTGAAAGTAAATCTGCCAAAGTAACTAGAAATTTTGCATCCATATTCAAGAAGTATTGACTGAAAACAAGCTGATTAATCTTGCTGAAAAGTTACTTTTGTCTCAGTTCAAGTTGACTAAAATATTTGCAGCAGAAACTGGACAAAAATTGTTTTTGCAGTGAAACGTGCAGCATTCATTCAGCCTTGTTGGGTCGATTCTTCCTCAGTTTTCCCCCATTTTTAACAGTAAAGCAGCAAAAACCTCCTAAAAACTGAGCACTCAGACCCACACGCACCCGGTTCCGCTTTCTCCTACGCACGTTGGAGTTATCCAGCGGCCATCGGAGCGGCCTGCGGCTGCATATAGGTGGAGATTAACGCTGTGCAGAAAGAGGATTACAGCAACACAAAGAGCAAAGCGGAGACGCTCACTGGGACAGAAATAGAGGAAGAGGATGATGCCTGTGAGGAAGGAACAATAAGAATCAGAAACACGGGAAAAGTACGGAGGATTTAAACGAAGTGAAGAGAATCAATGAGGAAGATGTGGTTTTAAACACTGCAGGTTATTATCTGTGGAAATGCTTCCCCTTTTTTACACTCAATGTTTCAGAAGAATCTCATCTTAATCGATCATAAAATGCAACTTTACATTTGCTTAATTCATCTACAGTTTAAAATTAACATGTCGCTTGTTGACATAAAAGTTTTGAATAAAAATGAGTATTGAAGAAAAAATATTAGCATAGAAATCTCTCAAAAGTCAATTTATAACGATAAGCAACTAGCATCAATCAAACCTATAAAGAAAATGTCATTATTTTAAAAAAAGTAAAAATAGATCTAATCATTTGTTTATGTCTGAGTTTATTTTAAAAAATCTCTGATCCTCCCAAATTATAAATGCTGTCACTTTTAATAAATGTTTATTTGCAAATGTGCTGGTGACTGTAATCCGTTTTAAACATGACATTTTAAGTTGAAGAACAATTGATTTGTTGGATCTCTGCAGATTCGAATGTTTTTATAGTAACAGAAAAGCTGCAAAAGTCTCACATTTTACTGCATCACTTTAATAAATTTGCGTATTTTGCACACGTCGTTTTGTGATATTTATCTTTTTTGAGTCTGCAGACAGAAAAGCATCACTGACCTTTTTTTATTTAACCTGAGTGGATCAATAACAAAATCATTTCTTGTCAGTTTCTGCAGCTTTCAGTCAGCAGCAAACAGCTGCTAAAGTGTTTCTGCAGATTTCCACAGAGGCCCGGCGGAGCAGCAACACCTTGTAAACAGGTGATGGCTTGTTTGCTGCATCAATAATACTTCTCTTTTTTTGATCTGGCATTTGGACAAGAGCTCCTGAGGCGTTTCTCAGAACTAACCACCAGTTTTCTCTTGTTGGCCTTTTTCTGCTTTTTAACTTGCATGATAAATTTCTGAAATATATTTAAACAAATCTGAGTAAAGTAAAGGAAAATGTGTTTTGTTTTCTGCAGCTGTCGCTCATTGTCAGGAACAAAAGAAAGCACTTCAAAGCCTTTCAAACTGTGTGCTCGACTCTGCCCAGGTTTCCGTAGCGATGGAGAGCAAAACAAACCCAAAGTTCATGCAGAATAACCCACAAAGCGTGGGAATCTCCTCCAGGAAACCTCTTTGATTTCACATGCTCAGCTGCTTTTAGCTCTAAGGTTTTAACTAGGCCACTCTGAGGGTTTAGTCACCTGCAGGTTTAATGCCTCCCCATCTGCAGATAGTTTACATTTTTTATCTAAAATCAAGAAAAATAATAACCATGACAATATTCTTCATGAAACTGTCATAAAAAAAGTGTCTTCCGTCAGAGGCGTCTTTAAATTTGTTGTAATACAGACTGCTGCAGGAACTGCGATCAATAAAGTATATTTTAAATTGGTTAATTGAAAAGGATCAGGAGTCCTGCAGCACAAAAACATCTAAAACATGCATGGGAGGCCCACTGATGATCAAAACTGAAAAAATGTGCATGTTACAGGTTTGACAAACTAAATATGTTAGTTTTTCTCATCGGTTTTGTTCTTTTTCTGTAACTGAATCGACCGTCTTTAGCTTTTAGACGGGGAACGTCTCCATGTCTCTGCAGAAACGCTGAATTGTGAGTTCAGTAGTTTGATGCCTGTGATCCTGTCAGTTTGTTGAACATGTTTGGCTTTAAGCATCTGATGGGGGCAGAGAAAGCTTTCGGGTGGAGACGGGGTTCATGCAGCATCCTGGTACCGAGGCGCTGCCAAGACAGCTTGACTGGTGAGAACAGATGGCGGAGAGCTGGGCGTGAACATCATGTCTGCAACAAAACAGAAGAAAACTCTCTGTTCTGATGCAGACTGGGGCGGAGGTTCACCTTCCTGAACATCCAGCCAGATGCAATGGATGGTTCAGATCAGGTCAACCACATTACCAACATCATTTCTGAAACTTTTTAAATTTAAATGGCAAAACTGTATTAAAGACGTAAATTAATGGACATCATATAATTACATGCAAATAAAATTATTCTGATGACAAAAACAAGCCCCTCACTTAACGGTGGGAGTAGATCAACGTAGTTCAAAGGTTCTTATTTTTAAGCAAAAACAAAAGAAAAACCTAGACATTTAAACAAGGTCAGCAAAATTAATTCATTAATCATAAGAATGAATAACATCAGTTTTTCATCAAATATTCATTCAATAGTCTATTGGCAAAAGGCGGAATTAAACCCAAGCATCATAGGCACTTCATCAACAGCAGCACAAGCACTAGCATGTCGAAATATGTCAAAAACACCCGGAAGATCAATAAACATGTCAACGGCAGCTAAACCGAATTATTAAGAAACCGTAAGAGATCAATAAAAATAACCAATAATCCTATTTCAGTATTTTAAATTGTTTTATACACAAACTTAGCAAAAACAATTAAATCCCACTTTGGCGTTCCGTCCCGTAAACAGAAATAACAGGACCTAAAAGCAGATTTTAACCGTAAAATTAACAACCCGCAGCAAAAGCATCGAAACAATCTGAATGTCAAGCAACTCACCGCTGAAGCTGGAATCTCCATATCATGTTTTCATCAAGTTTTGGGACGTAAAGGTAGACAGCTTCAGCTCCACTCCAGTCATGCACAGACAGTCCTTTCGTAACAGCGCCCCCAGTGGCTGGATGACTGAACGGGTTACAGGCTTAGTGAAGTTGGTTAAATGCCTGCAGTTAGTTTTTCTTCTGTTTTTTCTGGAGACGCTGTGGTCTGCCTCAGATTGAAGGAAATATTCTTGGACTTACAAAATAGATCTTTCAGAGTTTTCAGTGCTTCAACACAGACTGAGAGAATTTATTTAAAAATAAAAACAGTTTAATTGGATGTGGACAGAAAAAAGTGATTACCTGTTGAGAAGAAAATGTAGAAATGTTAGCAGCTTGATTTGCTTATGCCTCAGTCCGTCTCTGCGCTGTTCACCTCTCTGTGGTTGGAGTTTTTCTCCTTTTTGTTGTTTCTCCTTCACACCCAGCGAGCCGTTCTGCAGCCTGACCTCCTATTTTGGGCCAAACTGATTGCCTCATGTGGAGCCAAAGCCCGGGGCTCCGCTGGGGTCGCTGTACTTTCTGAAATATCAAAAGCAGAATTATGCAGCGACCTTGAGCAGGCTGGTTTGTTGCTGAACTAAATAATTTAGACATAATTTCAAATTAAACATGAAAGTTTTGCTTGGATTAAACTGGCAACAATATACAGAGGTAAAGGAAATGTTGACAGAAGTCTTTCCAAATGAATCCTTACTTAACGTACTTTTTCTTTTCAACAGGTTCCACATAATTGTATTTTGTTAATTGAAAACAAAAAAACATATAAGATAAAATTAATGAGTTAACCCAACTTCTTCAAATTAGACTGACAAAGAAGTTAGTTGAACTAATTAAACTATTTCGTGTTAGACTGATGTCCATTCAGTAAATTTATTTTGCATTTTTTCACTCAGCATGAACAAATTATGTTAAAATTTGCTTTCCGTCAACTGAGGTTTTTATTCAACTATTTTTTTTCTAGATAAGTTAACTCAAGTTCGTCACTTTGATCCATTTTGCTGAGTATAAATGAATGAATCTCAAAATGACCCTGAACAATTTAAATAAAACAG